CCCCAAAACCCCAAAACCCCAAAACCCCATAAGAAGTTATTGTTAAATTTAAGAAAAAGCAAAATTAAAAATTGGAAAATTAATTTTCTAAATGGCATTATTAGAAACAACTTAGAGTAACGTACTAAGAAGAGAAAATATAAAAGTTGCTATCAGAGTGAGACCTACTCTGCCCTTTGAACAACACAAGAAAGAGGTTGTTTATTATCCCTAATTCTAGGAAGGAGTCTTAGAGGTAATTAAATTGAATAAGTTTATCAATACAACATTTTATAGACCATAAAAATTGAAGATGGTTTACATTTGATCGAGAGCAAATATGACAAAGTGTTCAGATAAAATTCATATTAAACAGAAGTCTTCGAATTTGTGAGAGGTAAGTATAGAATTCTGTTACTAATCATTTAAAGAAAGCATCGAGGGTATATTAAGCGGATATAATGCAACTATTTTCGCTTACGGCTAAACAGGTTCAGGAAAAACTTACACAATGTTTGGTCCTCATTGGGAAGATTAGAACCTCGGATATCAAAATACAATGGGGCCATACAATGGTTCAAATTTCCACTAAGACTAATAAAAATTTGGATTAATACCAAATGCAATAGAACATGTCTTTGAAAATCTTGAAATATTGCAATAATCAGGCGAATAATCATACACAGCATATTGTTCATTTATGCAGATTTACAACGAGAAGCTTTTTGATTTGTTTTAGGAAAAAGATCAATAGAAGCCACTAGTTATCAGAGAAGATAAATATTCAGGAATATTCGTTGAAGGTTAAAGTGAATATGTAGTTAGAAACGCCCAAGAATGCTTCATTCTATTAAGAAGAGGAGAGAAAAATAGATTTACTAGACAAACGAAAGGAAATATTCATTCAAGTAGATCTCATACCATATTCTAATTACTTATTGAGTCAAATGAGCCAGACCATAACGGAAAAATTCTGAGAGGAAAACTCAATCTATGTGATTTAGCTGGTAGTGAGAAGATTGGTAAAGAGGAGAATATGGACTCTTAGCATCTACTAGAATTAAAGACTATCAATTTAAGTTTAAGCTCTTTAGGAAAAGTTATATCTGCTCTTGCACAAGGGAAAAAATCTTAGCATATACCATATAGAGATTCAAAACTAACTAGACTACTATAGGACTCACTTGGAGGGAATACTATAACAACTCTGATTGCAGCGGTTTCTCCATTAGTTGATTGTGCAGAGGAAACTATATCTACTTTAAAATTTGCGGATAGAGCAAAACAAATTCTAGTTAAAATATAGGCAAATGAGATGAATGCTGCTGACGATGCAAGAATTACTTAATTGCAGAAAGAAGTTTAATACCTTAAGGATATATTGAATATGAAAAGAAAAGGAGGAGCTAATGAATTAACAACATAGCTTCTCCAATTAAAAGAGGAAAATAGTAAACTAAAATAGATGGCTGGATAAGTTGGAGAAGTTGAAAGATTGAAGCATGAAAACAAAATAATGAAAATTGAACTTCAAAGGCTTAAAGTGCCTAGTATGACTGATGGATTCTAACAATAAAAATAAATTACAAACATTTCACATTAATAGAGGAGTATGCCTCAATCATAGTAGCTCGCATTGATCTAATCAGTTGATTTTAAAAGTGAAGAGGGTGATTAAGCTGAACAAGACCTTGCAAGAATAGACAAGAATAATCCATCATTTTTCATGACTGAAACTGATTATTTTCCAATAAACTAAATGGATTAATCACGAATGAATCAAAATTAGATTCTTAATTAACCTACCTAGGATAGATTTGCAAATAACTCATTTATTAAAAAGCAAGCCTCTCCAATGAAATAATAGAATCTTTCTCTTCATGACCCACATTCACTCATTATAAAACCATAATCAATTATCGATACTCCATTGAGTTCTCTTGGAGGAGCTGGATAGGATATTTTGAGTACTCATAGTGCTATTACAAATAGTTAATTTAGAACTGGCTAATTCAGTCACCAAACTTCAAATTCTATGGAAAGTTCAAATATGACATAGCTATCAGTTTAGTAAATTGCAGATAAGCTAGAAAATCAAAGAATTTAAGAGCTAAAATCTGCTGCTCTAGGTATGAAAGGTACTCTAGTCAATAATGGTAGATGCCCAAAGTGTACATTGAAGCCTCCTTGCAAGCATTATGAGAAAATCGAAGATTTGCCTAATATTGTTGAAGTCCAACCATCATTAGCAAAGAAACAACCTAATATGCCTCCACTCTATCCAAATAAAGATACTCACACTAATTTGCTTCTTGCAAACTAGCCCCCAATCTAAAAATAGCGAAATGACAGTGAAGCAACTAGATTTACAACATCATCTTCAACCTATGTCAATCAGTTATCATCTAATTCTAATAGCACTCCATCAAACAATACTTTCCAGAATAGTGGAGCTTAAATGATCCTAAATTAAAATAACAATATTACTTAAAACAGTAATAGAACAAGCTAATTCAGTTATACTGAGGGTTCAACTTAAGGAGTTAATCAGAGGGTATTAAAAGAGTTGCAAACTTTTAATTTCACTCCATAGTAATAATTGATTTCTAACCCCTCTTTTACAACAACTGGCACCAATAAATCACCATTTGGTACATAAAGCAATAAATCAGCTGTAATTGAAAGTTAAATTCTTACTCAGAATGGATTAAATCTAACTCAAACACCAGTATAATAAAAGAATATTGAGGATTACAAGAATTATTAGCAGATGAGTAGTAATGGTAAAACACCCTAGCAATCTGTTAGTTATAATGCAACATTTTATAGCAATAATAGTAATCCTACTAGAGGTAGAGATTTAAGTCTTAATAATAATGCTCATCAAATTATGCAAAGCAACACTTAGCAAAACTTTTTGTCAGAAAATAGGATATAATAACAAAACCCAAACGACAATAGAAGTCGCACAAATTTAGATTAGAGAAAGCATTCCTAGCAATAGAAGCAATCAAATTTTTTTAGATTAAATAAACATGCCCTTTATCCAGCACCAATGTAATAGGACTAGATCTAAGTTAGAATTAGAGGTAAAAACAATTTAATTGAGACAAAAACTGGATCAGTAACTAGAACACTAAATGAAATTTAAGAGTAAGAATAGCATAAGAAAGATATTTAAAAGACCACAGAGAGATTAAAAGTTTTAGAAAAACTAGAAAAATACAGAGAGGAAAAGTTGAAAAAAGAAATAGAGTAGTATGAAGAGTAGAAAAAGAAGGAGGAGGATGAGTTTCTAAAACTTAGAGATCAAGAAGCTAAGCGAGTAAAGTATCTTGAAAAACAAAGAGGCAAGCTAGATTAACTAAGAATGAAAAAGATGGAAGATGAATTAAGCAAGTAAAAGGATCTAGATAAAATGAAAGAAAAGGAAAGGATGAGAAGGAAAATGAAAGAGTAAGAATAGGAAATACAAAAGAAGAAGATATAAGAATATCATTATAAAAAGCGCTAAACAGAAGAGTTACTAGCTAATGCTAACTATGTAGATTTTGAAGATGTATAGAATGATGAGGATCTGTATTTGAATATATAAAGCTCAAAGAATCATGGGAAAAGAGATGAATTAGAGGGATATGTTGAGGAACTTAGCATGAATCAGGGAAGAAAATAAAGAGCTCCACCTGCAGTGCAATGATAGCCCAGTATGATAAAGTATACCTTCTCATTATAATCTAATAAATTTGTGCAAATTTAGCTATATTTAACAACTTCATAAACATTTTGAAATTTAGCTTGATGGGGTTTTGGGGTTTTGGGGTTTTGGGG